TTTATTTTAATTACTCCATAATTTTAGGATTTTGGTCAACTATTTTGTCAAAGGGTGTTTTAGTCATTTGGTAAATCTTAATTAATATTATTGTTTGGTCATTTATCCAATATAAAAGTTGTTGTGCTATATTTCAAAATGTCAATCTTGAGCTAAGTTGGTTGGGCTCCATTTAGTTTTAAATTAAAATTCGGTATTAATTTTTAAATATGTCTTTAATAATTAAGGGTGTTATAAAAAAAAAAAAAATCAAATTCCTAGAAATTTCAAACAAATAATCTAATCCCATCATTTAAGATTGAGTTTTAAATTAATTTGAGTTAAAAATAAAAATATTCTCGAAAAGAGAGTGACTCTTAAGTTAAAAATTATGATTATAAATTATTATAAGTTGAATAAATTGACTTAAAAAACTCGAAAAATGAACCGAATTAATCTAATTCAAACTAACTTTCGACCCATCCCAAATTGTATGAGTTCAATAAGAAATACTTGCCCTTTTCGAGCTAATGTTTCTTAATTAAATATATTAAAAAATTAGAGATAAAAATAAAATTTAAAATTTAAAGTCAAATTACTATTTTAACCTTGAGATTGGTGGATGGCATCTAATGAGTCCATAAACTTAAAAATATATATATTTAACAGGTTTTTTAAACTTCCAATATTAAGTCTGTACATTAAAAAATCAAAGATAAAATAGAATTTAAAATTTAAAATCAAATTACCATTTTGACCCTTGAGATTTGTAGACGTGAGTCATAAACTTAAAAATTTTTATTAAAAAATCAGAGATAAAAATAAAATTTAAAATTTAAAGTCAAATTACCATTTTGACCCTTAAGATTCGTGGACGGCATCTAATGAGTCCATAAACTTAAAAATATATATATTTAACAGATTTTTTAAACTTTCAATATTAAGTCTATATATTAAAAAATCAGGGAAAATAAAATTTAAACTTTAAAGTCAAATTACCATTTTGACCCTTGAGATTCGTAGGAGACCATAAACTTAAAAATATATTATATATATTTAACGGAATTTTTAAACTTTCAATAGTAAGTCTAACAAGTGCGTGAATTTAAAAAATTGTCGATAAACTTTATAATTATTTTTTAAAATTGATAAAGTTATTATTATTTAAAAAAAAAAAAAAAATTAGTGAGTTGTTTTGATGTGGGGGCATTTGTGTGGGAGGACGTGGTTGGTTCTCATTAATGTGTTTGGCAGAAATTATGTAAATAGAAAAGAGAGATAGGTTTAGAGACAGTGTCAGGCTGAAAATGGACCATAAAATTTAATAATTTGTAATTATGAACACAAAAATGAATACCAAGAAAGGAAGTAGGTGGAAAGTTCAAGTGAAAGCCATGACCTTATTTAACTCCCTTATGGCCTCATTCTCAAAATCCACATTTAATTTGATGTGAAAGCTTGGAGAGGACCAACTTTCCGACTCGTTTTCAAATTTCGTGGTTGAATTGCTTCTAAGAGTCGATGATTGTGTGTTTGGACTCGGGCTCGTTTCAAAATTATTCATTGTGAGCATGTTTACCGTTCAATCTTCATCTACTGTCTTTTCTAATGACCACATCTTAACAGAGATCTTGAGAATAGTATAGATAAGAGAGGCTTAAAAGAATTGAACGTCACTGCCTATACCAACAATGTGTTCCTTCCGGCTCAATCATAGGAACTACATAGTTGAGTGTGTTTTGCTCGGAGTAATTATACATTGAGTGACCTACTGGAAACCTTTCTACGATGTATGTAAGTGAGGACAAAACATGTTAAAATGACTCGTGTTGGTCTGTGGGGATAGTCTTCAGTAATATGACCATGTCGAAGGGAATGTTGCGGTTATCATATGTCAAATTCGAATTTCGAATCCTGGACATGGGTCGTTACATGACATGTGAAATTGTAGCTAGAACGATAGAAATATGTCTTCACGCTGGAAGGACTCGTGTTCGTATGTGGAGATAGTTTTCGCTCTTAAAAGCGAAGAGTAAGTAACGTGACTATATTGCAAGGGATGCAAGAGATTGTCGGGGCAATCAGGTGCCAAACCTAAATTTCGAATCTTGATCTAAATCCTGGACATGGGTCGTTACATGACATGTCAAATTGTAACTAGAACGATAGAAATATGTCGTCTCATTAGTCTGTAGGGATAGTTTTCACTCTTACAAGCGAAGAGTAAGTAAGGTGGCTATGTAACCCGGGAATGTTGGGAAATTAGATTCTCCCATTAATGAAGGCAATGAATGTGTTTACTCTAGAAAGTTTGAAGACTCGTAATTAATTCTTGCATCTATGTGTTTTTTATGTGGAGAATATGCTTAATGTAGGTATTAATAATGACGTTTTATTTATTTATTTAATCTTTATATTTTTTAAAACCATTATTTTTAACGAACACCTTAGTCCCTCAATTTTAACTTATAACAATTGAACTCGTATACTTTCGATTTTTATTTAATTTTAATTTTAATAACGATTTAGTTCTTGCATTTTAGTATGTAACAATTTAGTCTCGATAATTATCACATGTTAAAGTATGTCCGAATGGATTTGTTCGTGTAGGATCTATATTTAATATTAAAAATAATCAATCATGTAAGTAAAATTAATAATTAAATATTTGAATTTTCATGGACCACAAATAATTCATGGTTAATGGACCATTGTACGCGAGTCGTTTGGTTACTCATACACATAAGATACAAGTTAGCTTAATCGTGGTCCATGGACGCTATTTTGCTATCCTATTTTTACAATAATTTTGCAACTACCCTACATTATTTATTTAAATTAATAAAAATAATTTTGAACTTTATGTTTTATGTTTCGAAACTTTCAATAAAACATATTTCTAATTCTTAAAAGTTTCGTTAATACTTTAATTTCAAAAATACTTTTAATTTTTAAAAAAAAAAAATTAAAAATTTCCTTTCAAAGTAATAAAAATTTAGAGTTAATTTATGAGGTATTAAGATATGTTTTTAGTCTATATATTAAAGATAAAAAAAATTAAATTTTTTTTATAATTTTTTTTTTTTAACTTAAAAGAGTTAATACTAGTTTTAAAATTTTATGAATAGTTTTTAAAAGTATTTTTTAAAATTTTTTCCGAATTTTGAAGAAAATACTATTTTTAAATAAATTTAAGAAGTCTAAATTCATAAAAATACTCTTAAACTTAATTTTAAAAAATATTTTTTTTAATCTTTAAAGATTTTCTTACCATTAATTTTTATGAAATTTGAAAAGTACAAAAAAAAGTATAAATAAAATTTTTAAAGTAACATGTTTACTCTAAAAAAACTTATAATTACGTATGATTATATCCAAAAATTTTAAGGCTATTTTTGGCCGTTTATGAGTATTTTTAATTGTGGTACTGGTGATAAATATATTTTTAATTTTTTAAAAAAGTTTTAAATATATTTTTTTAAAAAAAGTTTAGAGATATTATTATTAATTTAACTAAAACTAAAAGCGTTAAAAAAAAAAGGTCAAATGTGTAATTTTATTGAAAATGTTTTTTACAAACAAAAATATAATAATTTCGCTAGGTATGCATATTCATTTAAAATTCAATATTACAATTATGGAAGGAAATTTAAAAATTAACAAATATAATTTTCTGCTCTTTTTTTCCATTTTTGAAATATCACATTCTTTTTAAAATTTATAAATTTAGTCTCCCATTTTTAATATTTTTAAAATTAACAGATATATATAAAAAAAATATAAAATTCATATTTAAAATTTATAAATTTAGTCTCTCATTTTTAATATTTTTAAAATTAACAGATATATTAAAAAAAAAAAAACATAAAATTCATATTTAATTATGTTAGATCGATTAATTTCTTAAAAATTTTAAATTTGTAAGGTATTTATTAAATTTAAAATTTTATGGATTTAATTTATATAATTTTAAAGTTAGAAAGGTACAAAAGTTAAAAAGTTTGGTAAATTAGCCTTAAAAATTTTCTTTGAAAATTGACATGTCACGTGCAAAGCAAAATAAAAAAAGAAAAAAAAAAAGACTGACAAAAAATACCCATCGCATCACCGAAACTACCCTTTTGTCCAACGTTCCATTTCCATATCCATTTGAATTTCGTTGCGGGCCCCACGCTCCTTCCCTCCCTCATATAAAACGGCTAAAAACCGTTGATGGCAATCTTGTAATATATTCAAACTCACAGGGGCAAATTAATCAGAGGAGCCGAAATTTTCAGTCTTCGACACAAAAGAATATCGCCGCCCCAAAACAGAAGAAAAGCTCGAACCCCCACATTTCTGTTCCCTCACTTTCAACCCTAACCTATCTCAAATGACGGTTTTGCCCTTCCCAACATTTGAATTTCCAACACGTCTCCACGCCATTTTCCACAATGTTCAGGGGTGTAATCGGAAGAGTAATTTAAATTATTTTCTTTGTGCTTATTTTATTTGATATCATATATATTAAAATTTTATAAATTCAAAACTTTTTTTGGATCTAACTCCTATGAACGTTATAACCAAAAAAAATAAAAAAATAAAAAAAGGAAATAAAAATAAAACTTTAAAATTATATATATATATATATATATATAATATTATTTTAATTTAAAAAGTCAATTAAACTTTTAAAGATAAGGATTTAAAAAACTGTCCAAGAAATTAAATGTTTAAGGATGTTTATTTTTTAATTTTAAAACTTAAATAAACCAAAATAGAGAGTTTGAAGATTTTAAATAAGATTTATAGCTAAAATAATATTATGAACTAAAAAAAAAAAAGGAAAAAAAAGACTAAAAAAAGATAATATTATTTAATTTTGGTAATGCCTTTTGAGAAGTTGTTGTACGCATTTGGAGTTTGTCCCCATCGGCTATTTTTCAAAAAGAGAAAAAAAAAGTTTTTTTTTCCATAAATATATATATAAATATAAATATATATATTTTGTGGGCAAAAAATATTAAATTGATTGGAGTTGTATAGATTTTCGCTACAGTGAACAAGGCGAGAAAAGAGAAACCACGCTCCCCGTCTTCTTCTTCATTTTGCTGCAAATCGGTTCTTCGATTTCTGAGCTTAGGGCTTTATCGGCGAGTTTTCCGATACACATTGCTGCTCCTTGTTTTGGAAAAAGAGGGCGATCGGCATTCCGTTTTCGGCGGAGGTGGAGTGAACAGTGGAAGAAGGAAGAAATGGATGAGGAAATGGAGGTTGAGCCGGTTGTGTTTGAGGCTTATGAAGTTGACATTGAGTATGAGTTTGATGCGGCTAGGTATTTTGATTTCACTCGCGAGGAGAGTTTTGATGAGGCTTTTCAAGCTGAGCTTTGGTTCGAGTCTGCTGGAAGCTACCCTCCTTCTCGTGAGTAATCTCGAGGTTTTGTTCTTGGTGTTCTGTTTGTTTGTCCATTGGTTTGTATCTATGTCTTTGTGTTATTTTTGGAGTTTGTGGCTTGTTTCTGGTTTTGGGAGCTTTGGTGATCGTTTTTTGAGGGATTTTACTGACGAATCTGACGTTGTGATTTTCGTTTTTACTTGCTTATTACTAATCTTAAAGATGTTCCACTTTCGTTGTTTTAGCTGTGGATTTATTTCTTTGATTTTCGTGGAGTGAGGAGACTGGAATTTGTGATTTTCTTGAAATGTTGGGCACGAGGAGCGTGTCAAGGGAGTTGGAATTCATGATTTTCTTGAAATAATGTGGCATTTTCATTGCGCTCATTTTTTTTCTTTTAATTTTTCGTTTCTTTGTGTCAGCGTTCGTAGCGAAACTGTTTTTGAGGGAAGAGTGTCTTCTTGCTATTGAAAATGCTTCTAAAAAATCTGAGGGTCAGAATAACATAATTGGTTCGCTTAATGGTGCCAGTCAGGAAGCTGGTTCAGTACGCGAGAATGACCGAGGTACATTTCTGGTTTAAGTTCCTCATGTCTTCTGTCCATCTCTGCTTTGATATACTACTCTGCTTGGTGGTTGATGATAACAAATTACGAGAGTATCTTGTAGATTGCCAAGGATCAAATAGAGGAATCTTCACCAATTTACGAGATGGAGATGTACAAAAACTTCATAATCAACATCTCCAATTTACATCAGGTGGGTAGTCTGTTTTGAAGAAGTAACTAGTGAATGGAATCAAAATCTTTTCAAATATGAATGAATTTTACGTTTTTGGGAGGGGAGACTATATGGGTATATGAATTGACAACTTTTCTTTTTTCCCTTTTTATATGTTTTTCTTACATCGTTTCTGTTTTATCAGGATCTACATCATACAATCATCCATCCCTGAACAAACCCAAAGTTAAAGCCTCATCTTGTGTCAAGCCATCTAAACCCCGGAGCACTACTCTGATGAAATCAACAGCAAGCCACTTAGCGAGACAAAACTTCCCTGCTCAACATCCTGATATCAAGTGAGTGCTAGTGAGGCTGTTTCATTTAATTTTCTTGATTGTATATAGGCTGAATCTGCTTCTATTTGGTATCGTTGTGTGTTTTTTTGCAAAATTTCACCAGCTTTTTTGGTTGGACATTGGCCAAACTAAGAGGACCTTTGTGGGTTTTTCTTATGTGCATAATTGTCACAATGTCCTCTTAGTTTGGACAAAGTGATCTAATTTTCGTAGAAAGCCTATTTGCTTACTGAGGCTAGTAATGATTCTGTTCTTTGAATAACAAATGAATGTTCTGTATTCATTCTTCTAGTAATTTTAGGTTTGGATGTTTAGGTTGCAGAGAGTAGTTAAAAACAATGAGACAAGTGTCTGTGGTTCTGTTATTGAAAGTCAGGCTATCAAGAAGCAGAAGCTGGATGGTGGTCACTCGCATAAGGTACATATGTTGTACAATATATCATTGTCTCTCTGATCTATGATTTTGTTGATTTGTCCTGATATCTTTCTCTAATCATCGGTATATTCTAATCTCCATAAATTATAAAAGGTCTTTTCATGGTGTTTCTGAAAAATCTTTCATTATTATTCATATTATCTTTACTTGTATTGTTTATCTCACTTTGAAATGGCTCGTTTTGTGCCTTAGTGTGCAGTTGAGTACTTTTGCTGATTATGGAGTCTTGGTATGAGCTCTAACTTTAATCTTGCATACAGGTGAATGAAATAAAACAGCAGACTAATTTAGTCCACAAGCTTCCCAAAAAGGTGTGCTATTTTTTATTTTTTTTTTTCCTTTTTTTTTTTTATGTATATATCAGCACTAAACCCTTGCATAAAGTCCATTTAAGAAAAAATGTTCTTCATGATAGCATTCAAATGAACAAGTTAAGATGTTCTTATGCTAGTGTATCTTCAAATTTTGATATCTTAGACTGTAAATTCCGTAGCTTTACCATCTTATTAACTGTATTCTTCAGCCTTATATTTTTTCTTTGGCTGCACTATTTTTAAGTGTGATTTGGGGTAATTCAACTGAATCCGGATTCTAATTATGCTGATTAGTAAATCTTAGTGTTATTATATGCAAGCATGTAAGTATCTTGATGTGTATTGGCAGGATGGAGTTGCTGATAAAACTACTAAAAATGTCAAGCTGAAGATTACAATTCCTAGGCAGCCTGACCTTGAAACAGCACAAAGGGCACATAGAATAAGGTTTGAAATTGTTACGACTTCAATTTTCTTTAGTTACAAAATCCAGGTCCCAGATTATTCATAGGGGTTACAGTTGCTTAATTGCTTTGATGTCAGACTGAAAAGTAGGATGGAAGAAGATTACGAGACAACTACTCGAAGATTTAGAGCCCGTCCATTAAACAGAAAAGTTGGTACTTGTATCTGATAGTATTTGGAGATTCATGAATTGCTGTTTCCTTTTTGCTGATTGACGTTGCATTTCCTTTTCATATTGCAGATTTTAGAGGGGCCATCACTTCCGCTCTTAAAGAAAAGCACTCCCAAATTGCCTGAGTTTCAAGTGAGAAACATTTCTATTCTTATCCAATAGGATGATAGCAAGTTTCCTTGGAGAAGAATAAAAAAGAAGGAATAAAATGGCTTTTATCCTATTCCTCATGTTGTCTTTTGTGTCTGTTTCTTTGCCTTTAGGAATTTCACTTGAGGACGTTGGAGAGGGCCATGCAAAATACTTCTGCTGTTTCATCTTCAGCCTTTCATCATGATTATTCTGAAATTACAGTCACTAGAAACTTGGAGTCAAGAAGGTATTAAAATGAAAAAGAATCTTGTACTGCTTCCAATAAAATACAAATACTTATGTTCTTTTGTCGCAATGCTAATAAGTTGCTGCATTTATCTGCCAAGATCAAATGCCATTGATGATCAAAAGCATGATGAGTATCATATAATGCAGAATTTCAAGGCTTGCCCTCTTAATAGAAAGGTAAATAATTACTTTATTGGTGCTTTGATTGATTAATGTTGAGCAATTAGACTTATTTATGGCGTGATTGGTGCAGATATTTTCAAGTAAAGGCGAAATGGGCGTTTTTAGAAATAGCAAGCAAGAAACCACAATACCAATGGTAAGCTTTTATTTCTCCCCATATTTCCTTAACGCATATTCTTACCTTTCCTATTCCTAAAAGTCTCTAAGACGACATCAAATTACTGCATTCAGGAATTTAAATTCCATCGCGAGAAGAGAATTTTGCAACCACCAACAGAACTTTTCACCAAGGTAGATCTATGTTAAATTTGTTTTGTTTTTTGACTATTTTTTTTTTTTTTTTTTTTTTTTTATAAATATTTCTGTATATCATTAGTTCTAATATTAATGTGATTGTTTTAATGTTCTTATTAGCTTTCGCTAACATCTCAATTCCATTCAAATAATGGACCCTTGACAAAAGTTCCTTCCCGTCCATCCATACCTTTGAAGGTATTAATTCATTTTCATAACTTAGAAATTGCCTGTATGTATTCACTTGCAATTACCGATATTCATCTTTCTTTAGAAACTTAAAATTTTCTAACTATCTAAATTCTTTTATTGTCAATCTTTTTGGGATAAGAGCTCAAAGGAAAATAATTTGGTGTTGTTTCAACCAGAACGTAAGGTAAATGTTGTTTCAACCATATCTTTCTTGTTCTACATTTCATTTTAATGTCTTACAAAAGGTTTCTTCAAGATTCTGCAGTCGATGGTAGATGCAATGTTTTATTTTAACTTTTGTCTTACATATTAGTATTCTGTTGTAGATAACTCAATTGGTGAAAGAATCACCTCCATTTGCGGGAAAACATATTTATTTGGAAAATAATGGATGCATATCTGATTCCTGCAACAGCCAGTTGACCGTGAGGTACATATGGATAGCTGTGATAATTTTGCAAATCATCTTACCACTTGAATTATATCTAAAGAAAAATCTTTTAACCATACAGGAACATGGGAATTCGCTAAGCATTCAGAACTCTGTAAGAATGGTTTCTTTCTGCCAGGGCATCTGATTTTGGTTTCAGCCTTTAAATAGAAACCATTAACATGATGTTGATAACAACAGTACAGGAGAGGTTCTCAAGCTATTTTTTCTTCGTAGAAATCGATTTGAAGTCCATAGAATACAGGAAAGGATGTCATTTTCTAGATTTATCTATCCAACTCTTTATGTTCCCCCAACTTGTATCCAAATCCAAATAAGCCTGCAAGTTTGCCGGATATGTACAGCAATCATTGCCCCCC